CAGCTTTAATGAGGAGACACCAAAATAAAAAGGGAAAAAGGGTACTCCTGGATTACCCACGACCTCTCTTTGGGCACGCGCCACTTTACAAGGCCCTTCGGGGTACGGGACTTCCAAAGAGGCACGTGCGCATCGCATTGCTGCCTGGCCCTGTGGCACGGCGCGTGAAAAGAGGAAAAAAACCTTCTAAGAAGGAAAAAAACCTCAACTGTACACGCGCGACGGCATGAGGCAGAATCGAAGAGCGCAGTCGCTTCGCGAAACGCGCACAGAGGCAAGCAAGGCACGGGAAGGCGCTAAGCAAAAACCCTAAAGCAAGTAGCCAGGGGGAGCCCCGTGGCAACAACCCTAACTAGGCAAGAAAAACCCCAGGCAGAGGCATGGCCCTGGATTACCTAGACTGTAGGGGTTTAGGCGGTTTAGGGTTCAGGGCCTAAACCCAAAACCCAAAACCAGGGCGTAGGGACTCCGACGCGCTAAGCCCATACAGAAAATCCGACACCCCAAGCAACAGCTTGGCCAAAATATCCGAAATGGGTCCAGACGACCTACATCTTCGGGCCCGCCCAAAACAAATGCCCCCAAATTGGGCACCAAATCTTTGGAGATCCTCATACTGGCCCCCTATAGAAATGCAACTGCACCTCAACAAACAGACTTGACGCCTGATCCTCAAGCCTAAACCTAGCTAGAAAGCCAGTTGCCCATAATTATAGGCAACTTTCCCCTAGTTTCCTACGACTTTAGGTTTAAGTGGCCCATTATCATGGGTAACTAGGCTTGCTAGGTACATTTGAAAAACTTGAGGCCGTCCCCATTTCTAAGCTGCCGCCTTGACCGATGTCTCCGGCGAGTAGTGCGGGTTCGGCCTTAGGCTTCTGTGTTCTACAGGGTTGAACTAGGATTTAGGCTTTTAGGGGTTTTAGGGTTTAGGGTTTTAGGGCTTAGGGGTTTTAGGGTTTAGGAACTTGGATTTAGGGTTTTAGGGTTTAGGGGTTTTAGGGCTTAGGGTCTAGGGTTTAGGGTGTAGGGTTTAGGATTTAGGTCTTAGGGGTTCTGGGGCTTGAGTTGGTTGCAGAATGTTGCAGATAAGGGTTTCCCGGCCTTCGCGTAGTTGATAGATAGGTACACAGATAGATAGGTAGGCGGACAGGTACACACACGCTTGCATACGTATTATGTGCATACAAGAAGCCAGAAAAAAGAGACGGAGGGAGAGAGAGAGAGAGAGAGAGAGGGTTTAGGGTCTAGGGCTTCCATTAAACAACACACGCACGCACACCTTTTGGCTTGCCATAGCTCTAAACAAGGCTTTCGGCAGGCCCCGAAACCCCGACACAATAATACAACCTTGAGTAATTAAGGTAATTGCCAATATCGTTTTGATTTCGTTGAGGTACCTAAGACCATAGTCATACAAGGAATCTAGGAATATGATATTAGTTACATTGCCGCCATCCAAAAGTGCCACCTGTAGCCTGGCCCTTGCGGGAAGTCGAATCCTCTCACATACCCAATTTACAAACCAATTATCTTCTTGTTTAGTTTGGCTCGAGGGCAGGGGTCATGATGACGATTGCGGAGACCAGTGTGGGAAGCGATCTTGGGCTGATCCTGAGGGCTGTTTTTAATCCCTGCCATCGTTCCTTTTGAACTTGAGTAGCATCGGACATGCTGCCATAAAGAAAGCCTGTGACATTTGTCGCATATTTCAAATTGGAAAGGGCAGTTGCCGGCTGGCAGGGTGAAGGCCTTTGCCTTCTTCCCGAAGAGATCCCAAAGGGCCCCCTACATCTAAACTCTGAGCCCATAGAGACCAACTTCGACTGAGGCCACGGGCAGCGTGGTGGTCATGAAGAACTTGAAGGTGTCGGCGTAGGTGATAGACCTGAATTAGCTCACTTGGTTGGCCTTTGGAACCTTTGAACAAAATTAATATATAGGGTCCTTATGAAACCAATTAGGGGAAACATATAAGTATCCCAAAAGCCAACCCAGCTCATGGAAAGGGAAGAGAGAGCCTCCTACCTTGGCCTCATCCTGCCTTGTTCTGATTTAATTTTGTCTCAAGACCTGAATCCGACTTCTCCAAGGAAACCTGCACGTTTTCAGTTAAAAGTGGAAGTAATCATAACTGCCTGCGCCTCTAGCCTTTCACAAGAAGAGCCCCCCTGGAACTCACACTTAACATGAAACCTGTGTTTTGTGTCGTAGTCATCTAGGCAGCAAAATCGTGTTATTCCATCGATGAATCATGTTTGAGATCAGTGGCAGGAGTAGGCTTAAAACTATATGGCAGTTGAGCAAATTCTCGTCGCATCACGCCCCGAATGTTCTTACATAGCGAGACGTCCGAGATCCTTGAACTGTTTGGCTCTCTTTCTGGCAGCCATGCAAATCCAAGCATTTAGTGGTTGTGGAGAAATGGATTCCCTTTGCAGCCCTAACTATATGTTCTCAAATACTGGAATACCTTGCATTGTCTTTTCCATTCCTTCATTGCCTAGTGACAACCCAGTAGAATGTCCGGGCATCGCACTTGTCGCCCAGTTTGATAGTGAAGCCGGACCCGTCCCGCACCTGTGTTCAGTCTGGAAAGTGAGGACCAGAGAGCAGAGAATACCTTAAACTTAAGCTATTGAGTAAGGAACGTGCGTTAACTGATGCTCGTATTCTTGGTATGACTGAACCAAGGGATATCGGGCTCCCTGTGTCCTGGGAAGGTTTGAAAGTATGAATTCTTAGATCGTGCTTCGTAAAACGTTTATATCGATGCGCCGGTGGCATCGGAATATACGTATTAACACTGCCGCATGCTATTTAGCAGACGGTAAGCCGGGCCTCACCCCGCCTTCAGCTGTGTACAAGTGGCCTTATGCCCAAAGCCTGAAATCATCGGTGCCTACCCCGAAGGGTCCAAGTACTCAATAATCATACACCTCCCCAAAACCTGTAGTACAAGTACTAGACTTGTTGGAGCTTATAGGGACTGCTATAAGGATCCATGACTCCATTCCATGCTAAGAACGAGTAAGTCAAGCCGGCGTACAAACACACAAATGCACGTAGCTCAAGGACAAGCTGCAAATCCACACTATGGTCTTCCTAGAATACTAGGTAGGGTCGACAGTCGACATGTAAGGCCCAACGCAAAATGGGGCCTTCACTTTGACCCATCTGAAATGTAAACAATGATTACGACGCCCTACTCCATGCGAGCTTCTCCAAACTCAGCTTCCCAAACATACCCGCCCTCAAAGAATTCCAAGTATAGGCGCCCCTCCCCCCCCACCCAAAGACGAAATAAACTGGGGGCGGATGGAAAAATGAATCCGCAGCTCCCTTGGCACCCCAAACAGTACTACGGTTGATACTAGAAATCCTGCATGACCTTAATACACTATAAAAGACCATAGTTCCCAAGGTTTAGGGTACCTAGCGTCAGGCAGGATTTTTCGTATCCACCGTAGGGCTCCTGCACCCTAAGCCATCCACCCGAACACTGAACCCACACAGGTTCCTTCACCCTAAGCCCGAAACCCTATGCACACGGGGGCTCTGAATCTATAAATCGCGTCCACATTCCCTTAAACCCTGAACCCTAAACCCCTGAACGGTGTATGCTCTGGTTTGAAAAGCCCTGTAGCTGTCCTTCTGCTGTTGGAGGATGGGTTCCAGCGCAGGGTCGAGGTTGAGACCGATGTTCTCCAGCCTGGGTCTTTTCCACTATGGGTTAGGTACTGCCCCCACCGAGTAACAGTCTGACAATTATTATCCAGCTGTTACTGGGTGGGGGCGTCAGCATCCAAACTATGGGCTATTAGACCCTAAATTTCCCCTCAATTTCCCTCTTAGGACCTTATTAAAGGTAGATTAAGGTACCCTTATAAGGTCTAATAGCCCGTAGTGGTTCCCGCTAGGGATTGGGGTTTAGGCCGCACCCCCGCCCCTAATATTAAGTACTCCCAGTCTGTGGTAAATTATGATATATTGGGAGTATTTCATATTAGGGGGTGGGGGGGGGTGTAATTATTACGGGGAAGGGAGTCGGGTTTATTATCCTAATAGAAAACAACCCGCCTTCTACTGCAAAAGTACTTCTGTCCTCATGTTCCCATTCCAGCTCTGGAGGTTGCAGTACTGAAAGGTTCAAGCATAGCTGTAGCTGCGGCTGCGAGCCCCTAAGCCCTAGACCCCCTAGAATATTAGGGCTATATTGGGTTTATATTGGGATAATGGAAAAGAAAATGGAAACTACTATTTAGGGTTTAGGGTGTATAGTCCCCCTTAAGTAGATAGAATATGACCCCTAAACCCTAAACCGCCAAATTCTTGGACTCACGGATCTCCAGGTAAGCTTCTGCTCAAAGTCCATTTAGATCCCAGAGAGTCCAGGCAGGTATGCAGTATACATGAAATGCTCAAAGGGGCTCACACATAACCACTTTGCTTTACTTTGCTTTGGGGCTCAGAGAGATATATATATATATAATTAAGTACATAGAAGAAGTGCTACATGAATCTTTGGGGCAAATTGCCTGCTGGGGCGGTGTCTGGTCGTCCTCCCAAGAATAAGGGTTTAGGGTTTAGGGTTCTAGAGCAGTGGGGATAAATGCGGGGCTCACCTTTCGAGTGCCTCCATGATCCACCAAGGAATGGGTGGTCTTGGAGTAGCTGCCACAAAGAGATGCCTGCTGTAGGGGCCTGACTAGTTACCAGGTTTAGGGTTTAGGGTTTGAAGTTTAGGGTTTAGGGTTGCCCTGTGCCGCAATTATGCACGGAATCTAGGACCTCAATAGGGCCGTTATTCAGGAAGCCCTGTCTTGCTTCCAGACACCGACAAGCAGTAGCCCTTTGCAAGCATAGGTCGTGTTTTGGAGACATGCCCACAAGGTTGCTTACACAACTTGAAAGCCTAGTTGCTTGAATCTGGCAAGTGGTATCAGAAGTAATAGCAGCAGCAGAGGTAAGCTTTCAGGCCTCTTTGAGTTTGCTCGCCTAGTGTGAGGAGCATGGCCCTTGAGCTTCTTCCAGTGCTTTGAGGCTTGTTTCTTTATCGCAGGGGACTATGTAGACTTAATGTATCAAGCAGAGCACAACTGTAGAGGCCCCAACCAAAAGTGAGTTTGGTCGGATCCTTCCACAAACAGCCCAGAAGGTCCATGTGGTATATAGCATCTACAGTACTTACTCTTGGGCCCAAAAGTGGTTCCCACATAGCAACTTGGGGCCCAAATCTATGCCATGCTACTAGTCATACGGGTAGCTCCCACAATCATGGCCGCTTTTGGGTCCCCTGATGAACTACCCAGCTACATGGAGCCCTTAAGAACAGAAGAAGCTTCTGGCGGTCCTGAGACGCAGGCAGAATCCACTTGCCGAACCTCGGTCTGCTACCCGAAACCCTAAACCCTAAGCCCTAAACCCTCTCTAGGGTTGAAACATCTCCAACCTTACATGGAACTCATTTTTAGAAAATGTTTTGAGGATTCTATTGGTGATAGATATATGGTAGCTTCCCAAAATAAGGGGGGCCCCAATATAGACACCACAATACTAAAATCCTTATGATGGGGACCCCCAATAAGGTACCCCCAATTTTTGGGAAGCCCCTATATGCAGGTCTTTTGGGGATGAATGGGGTTGAGGGACCCATTTGCGTCCATCCTATTTGCCTTCAGGGTTGGGCCCCGTGCAGAGTCTAAGCAAGTACTGTTCTTTTCAGAGAAACCTCCGCGACCCTGCGATCAAGGGAACTTCCGTGTAGTGGCCAAGTTTCGTGTGGCCGCGAGCGGAAACCTATGTAGACATTGCATAGGCCCACTGCCCCGCTACCCATGTACTGGTTAGCTATTAGGGGAAGTGAGTAAAATCACCATTGCAAGGAAAGCATCTGATTTCCGATACCTCCATACTATGGTAACCTAACCCTGAAGCCTAAATAATCCCTCTACAGCAAAGCTGATAGCGGAACTTCGATAATATTCCCCAACTGCATTCCAGTCTATATGAGCTTCACCCGAGTTTTGTCCGGTTCGTCAACTGGATGTCACCCAACTGCTTGCAGACCCCCTACCAGATCCAAAAAAATACACACCCCCAACAAATGGGACATTGCCGTCAGCAAGATGCTTCTCAAAAGCATCCGTACATAATCCTTAGCGAGGACTCCCCCATGAGTCTCTTGAATTCTGAACATGCACCTAGAATCCCTAAACACCAAAGCTTGAAGCCTGAATGCCATAATATGTATATTTATCTACATCGACGTAGATATGCCCAATACTAACCCTAAACCCCTATTGCTATATGTCAAAATGGATCCCTCAGCCCTAAACCCTAACTGCTGCACTTCCCTATATATCCCAACCCAGCACCCTCAAAACTAAACCCTAAATGCTTTAGATCCCTATATTTCCCTATGTGTCTCGATTTTAGACCTATGTAACCCCATGTCCCCCAGTAGCCCTAAACCCTGAACCCCTAAACTCTAAACCCCTACACCCTAAACCCTAAATCCTAAAACCCTATAATCTCCCCAATAGGAAAAGCAGGTAAGGGGCTGGATGCCCAACTCCAGAGTACGGAGAAAGTTGGACTCCGACATCTTACAGACCTCCCAGGGTTCCATGCTTGAGGTTTAGGGCTAAAGGTTTTAAGGTTTAGGGTTTCAGGTCTAGGGCTTCTGGTTAGGGTTTATAGGATTTTCAGTTTAGGGTTTAAGGTTTAGGGTTGGGAGAATTCAGAAAGTAGATCTTGCTCAAGGCTTCCTAGAACCCCTCAAGCCCTCAACCTAGAGCCTAAATAAGCCACCATGCTGGGAGCACCTCGTTGGGGATATTCCAAGGGATCCGAGATGGCAGGGTAGGGTTTTGGGGTTTAGGGATGAGGGCTATCCCGCACTAACCCCCCAAACCCAAGAAGGCATGAATAAGGACATACATAACCCTTATTTCTGCATTACTTGGCCCTTATTCATGGCCTTAAACTCTAAACCTCAAGCCCTTAAGCTTGCTAAGCTTGCATAGGGGGCCTTGTGACGAGGATGTGCTTTGAAGCACCCTGATCTTGAGACATGGTCAGCTGCGGTAGTAAGGCTCCGACATCAAATCCGGTGTCGATGTCCTTGCCCATGTTCTTGATGTATTTGTTGGCCTCGCAATACCCACATCTGCTGAGTTAAAGACCTGAGAAAGATGCCCAAAAAGCTCGTGGCAGCACTGCTGCCTCCATGAACGAGCAGCCCAAAGAAAAAGCTGCTAACTCACAGGCACTCCTTTCTACAAGGAAATGGAAGGGTCTCAGCAGAAATCTGTCTTAGGCAGCAGGCTTCCAAGGCTCAATTGTCACTTGGAAGACACTAGTCATGTCGGGAACTGAGAAACTAAGACCGTTCCCATACCTCAATCTTCAACGCGCTCTTTTGAGCGCCCCTACACGCTCATCCTGCCTGTCTCTGCGGATCGATCATGAGGGGCCAGCGCCGTGAACGATCGATGATGATGGCATTCCTCAGCTCAGTAGAGCCGCGTGCTTTAGAGCAACTGGGTCCTGTTCTACTTACAACCTCAAACACCGCTGACTGCACCATGTTGGCGACCGTTGCTTCCCAAAGGTCTATCGTGGGGAATAAGGAAATATAGTATGTAAGGATTATATAGGGATTATATTAGGGAATAGGGGAGAATAATATGTGGGTTGTATAATACGGATCATCGTAGGGAATAAGGGAATATGTGATGTAGTGATGTAGGGTGTACATGGGGATTCTTCGCATTTCCTAAGAAGCAGTAGGGAAGGTTTGTGCATTGGGAATCTGACCAACGTGGTTCGTATCAGGGTATCCTTGTATACTCCCTACATTAATATATTCCCTACTATAATTCCTACATACTCCCTACATATAGGAAGGCACTGGGTCGGCCGCTCGATGGACAGCGCATCGTTTGGAAGCGAGTATACCACCCACCTGGATGGCACTCAAGACCGTTTCAATTCACTTGCTCCCGCCGTAGTTTAGGGCTTAGGGTTCTCTACTTTGACAGGGTAATTCAATTTAGGGCCATGTTGGCACTGTTCCCTATATACACCACCGTTAATGGTGAGGTCGGGTGATGTCGCTTTCAATTGCCCAGCTTTGGGGGACACGTTTCGAAAAGAATCGGAACAGGCAGAACGATGTGGCTGCTTCTGCAGAGGGCTCAGCATTACAGAACCTCAACCTGGCTGTAGAGCTTGCTTGATCTGCCCTGCCATGCAGAATTTTTCCACACTCCCTTCAAAGGGGATACAGGATTGTATGGGGTCATATAGGGGTTATATATGGGTTAGATAGGGGTTATATAGGGTTCATATAGGGGTTATATATGGATAATGGAAAAGCAAATGGAAGCTACTATTTAGGGTTTAGGGTTTAAGCCTGCACTCCAACAATCCGGAAAAGCACGAAGACACAGACCCATAATCGCGGAGACCTTCGAAAGGCATCCACAGATGAGCATAGTGTTTTTTAAGGTTAAGGTCTTTATACTAAGAGAGTCTGCCTATGCGAACTACGAGGATTGCTGTTTTCCCTGCAGAACAGAATAAGGCGAACACACTCTTGCTATCGTGCGGCCTACGCGGACTACGCGGCATTCCTGGGCTATTGACAATTCTATGCAGCACGAACCTCTTCTTGCTCACAAAACATACCAACTACGCAGACTACGCGGACGAGACTATTATAGGTGCCTAGGCGAAACTACGCCACAACTACGCCCTGCAGGCAAGAGGCTACGCGAGCACTCTTGCAGTTTCACTTCCATCATAGCCCTTACATACCTAAAAGAAAACTCAGATTGCTCGAGGGGTCCAAGTGACCTACATAACCAAAACAAAGCAGCAAATTGCATGCCTTTGAACAAAACACTCCGAACAAGTAGTTGCTGAAGCCCCGAGGCCAAGAAAAGGCAGGATGACAGGAACCCAAAAGTATAAAGTGCTATAGTCCCCCTTAAGTAGATAGAATATGGCTTTGGGTATGTGATAGTAAGATCCCATATACTCCATATTCTATCTACTTAAGAGGGACTATATACCCAGCTACTATCATGGGTGTCCCTCCTTCCCCGCTCTATCTACCCCGGAAGCCGCCCTAATTCCACAGAAGACCTACATCGATCATCAACCCTGAACTTCCCTAAATGGGGTTTAGGGCTTAGGGCCACCACCCTCAATCATAGCCCGCAGAAACCTTGACTCATGAAAGGCTAAAACCTCGCCCTGCAGCAACCAATCCCCACAAACCCCGGACCTACCCCCTGAGTTCTGAAGACCCTTTAAGCCCTGAAGTGTACGGGTTTTCCTAAAACTGCACTTTTTGGGGAGCTCCATAATAAGCATTGCGGTATATTGGGGTCTATATTGGGGTCACCTTGCTTTGGGCAAGTACCATATCCAGCTCTATAGCAACATCTATCTATCCCTCGGGATCCAAGCCTACAAGTAACTTGAGGCTCAAAGCCTAAACCCTAAACCCCAAACCCTAAATCCCAAACCCTAGACCCTAAACCCTAAACCCCAAACCCTTGCTCCTAAACCCTAAATCTCAAACCCTAAACCCTAAACCCCAAGCCCTAGACCCTAAACCTTACATTCCATAAGTTTTAGGGTTTCTGGTATCTATTGATCCCGAGAGCTTGAAGTTGGTATATAAGGTTTAGGGTTCAGGGCTTGTTGTTTAGGGCTGAGATATAAGCCCTAAACTCTAAAACCTATAGAGTGTAGGGTTTAGGGTTTTAGGGCTCGAATATAAAACCCTAAACTCCAAACCTCAACCCTTAACCCCACACACACCCCAACAAATCTGACCCTGAAACCTTATATAACCCCCGACAAACCCTAAATCTGACCCTGAAAATGCCATGTTCTCAGTGAAGGACTGTTGGATCTTAACTGGCTCACCGAGGACGCTTCGCATGTTGCATTCCTGCAATTTTGGGTTTAGGGTCTACGGATTAGGGTTTAAGGATTAACCCTATATCCTAAACCCTAAACCCTAAATCCTAAACCCTAAACCGACCAACTCGAGATTCGTCCTCGTTGTGTGTGATGCCGGCTCGGTCCAGTTCCTTGAGCCAATCTTGCTCGAAAGAGCTGCGGTACTCTGACCTGGGCCAAGGAGGTCATAGCTCTGCCTGGGTTTAGGGTTTATAGGGTTTATAGTGTTTATAGAGTTTATAGGGTTTATAGGGCTTAATTATAGGGCTAATAGGGTTTATAGGGCTCAGGGTCAGGATTATCTTATTTGGGGTGAGGTCGGGTGAGGCGATTGCAATTTGCCAAGTCTTAGTTGTACCTAGATGAGTAGAAACTTTACAGGATACACTCAATCCTTTGCACGTGGAACCCACAAACCTACAAGCGCATCCCCTACATCATCGAAGGGAACAAGCTTCATAAACTTAAAGCGGGTAGCACTTGCAAACTCAGACGTCAGGTATATAAGCGCTATCCCTCCATCGCGCAAAAGACTCCCAGCAGCCAGTCATCAGATCAAAAAAAGGGGTGCTTCAAAAGTGGCAGGCCACGTAAGCATCCCAATACCCCTCTAAGGCTGCTGAAGAATTCCCAGTACTGATCCCATTTGGTCCAAACCCTTTCAGGAAATCCTAAACCCCTAAAAAGCTCCAAACCCTGAACCCTGCACCCCTAAACCCCTAAATCCTAAACCCTAATTCCTAAACCCTAAATCCTAACCACAAACCCTAAACCCTTACCCTTGGGAAACCAAGTGCAGAACGTGAAAGGCCCAGCATAGGACACCATGCCCGCTGCGATGATGCAATCACCAGGCCTGGATTCGTTCAGAGTTAGGGTTAAAAGAAACAATCCCTATCTAACCCTATATATCCCTTTAAAGGGACCTAGGGTCTCCATTTTCTTTTCCATTAGCACAGTATTACCCCAATATAACTTTAAGGTTTTGGGTTTGGGGGGCTTAGGGTGTACATACGGTCTAGGGTTTAGACTTCAGGGCTAACTAAGAGTCGCGCTAAGCGGCTTATGGGGATAGACTCGGAAGAATAAGTTCTAGCGTTTAGGATGTGGGCATCTAAAAGGAATTCTGCAGGGGACCTGAGTGGTTCTTAGAGAGTCTGTCCTATTTGGGGGCTCCCTGGGGAGTCTGACATGGTCTAGCCGAAGCTCTCGGAATGATGGTTAACGACTTGCTGCCGTCTTCCAGGAACTCAGGTCATGCTTTTTGATGGCAGCCCTGTCCAAATGATAGGGTTCGATAGAAAAAAAGCTTAAACACTAGATGCACCAGAAAAAAATGGTAGTTTCCATACATGTGGGGGCACCAGCATAGATCCCAACATACTATGATCCTTCTAGGAGGCCCTGCTTCTTGGAAAGCTCCAATTCCTCCTACCCTGGTGCTTGAGTTCCGGTACCCGAAGCTGCACAGCGCCAGGATATTTCCTTGTAGCCTTGGAAACGCTGTTACTATTCATCTGCAAATACGGCCAACAACTTTTATCCCAGCTGCTCACCCACCAAGCAGGAAAACTGCCTGCTTTACAACCGTGAGCCCTAAACCCTGCTCCCTCAGCAACAAGCACAGAGCCCCCATTCCGCTGCTTTTTGTAAAGGATCAGTGTAAGCAAGCAAAAAAAACAAAACCCCTAAACCACTCAACTCGAGGCCCCTAAACCCTGCACCCTCCACCCTCACGCCTGCACAAGCATCAAGCCCGAAACCCCAAACTTTGAACTCCGACCAAACCCTATAACCCCAAAACCTCTAACCCCGGAACCCTACACCCCAAAACTCCAAACCTCAAACCCAAAACTCTAAAACCCCAAACCCCCAAACCCTAAGCCCTATACAATCCCTATAATCCCTGTAGTTTCCATTTTCTTTTCCATTCCTTCATAACCCTATAACCCTAAACCCTACGCCCGCACAAAATCCGCCAGGCGGACAGAAGCTCCAGCTGCTCGGTAAGCTTCACGACGTTGTCTCCCCAGCGGGCCTCTCCCAAGTCAAAGGGCTCAAAAGGTGGGTATGGAGGAAGGTGGGGTTTAGGGTTTAGTGTTTAAGGTTTAGGGTTTTTAAGGTTCAGGGTTTAAGGTTGAGGGTTTAAGGTTCAGGGTTTAAGGTTTAGGGTTTAAGGTTCAGGGTTTAAGGTTTAGGGTTTAAGGTTTAGGGTTTAAGGTTTAAATAAGCCGCAATATAGTAGAGTATATACTAAGGACCCTTTAACCTTCCTAGCTTGATCCCACCTTTTGACACCCTGAGCAAGGCTTGTTTTTCCTTACAGGGGCTTAGTAGGGAATAAGGGAAATGGGTTTAGGGTTACTAGGGAATAAGGAAATACGGTCTAGGGTAGTAGGGAATAAGGGAATAGGGCTTAGGGTGAGTAGGGAATAAGGGAAACAAGAAGCGACAAGTTTTGAGGAAGGGCGCAGGGCCGGTATCAGGGATGTGCAGGTACATGCGTATATGGCATATTGTAAAGACAGACTGGCGGTCACAGGGATATGCAGCCAGATATACATGCATGCTGTACACAACAGGATGTGCAAGACTTGGAGTTCAGGTGGTTGAGGGCTCAAGATGAAAACCGCCACGAAGAGTTTGAGACCTCTGAGAGCGCAGGCGCGTTGTTTGCAAAAGGTGTTACACAAAAAGCAGCATAGTTTCAAGGTGCTTTTCAGGCCCACTGTTAGCTAAAGGATGGGTGGAAGAATGAAGGCGACAGCAGTACACTCCGAATTCGAGTTTGGATTTTTTAAGCTCAATCACAGACAATAGATACCTTTACTTATTAGCTTTCGCTACTGTTCAGTGCGTCTTTGCACCGTCATCGAATAGCAAACACTATCCGGCCCATCAGACATTCTTGCAATGCTCCAAAACACAGGCCCGCAGTTCTTATGTAACTCTGTTGTCAGAAGTGTTACGCGGGCTTAAAGGACGTAGTGCGTGGCGTGGCGTTTTTCTAGATAGCTTTGTATTGGAATTCTTCTGACGAAGTGAGAAGAGGTTTGCGTTTCTATCCCTAAACCCTAAACTCAGAACCCTAAACCCCAGGTGGGCTGGATGCTGCTCCATTACAGTCGTCATATCTGGGGCCTTTGCCGGTATAATCTGTTTGGAATTTCTACAATGTGCGTCCTACACAATTATGGACACCTTGTGGCCGAATTTCTTTTTCAGAGTTGAGGAACTCAGACATGTTGCCCCGCAGTGCCCACAACTGCTCTGCTTGCAGAATGAGTATACCCTCCCCAATCTAACATTGAACCTGAAAGCGGGCCCATTGTAGACTACTGTCCTTTGGCATGGGTGTAACATGCGGTTCCGTGCTAGGCTAGAGTGAGGTTGCGTGTGCCATGCCCTGAGTAGTTGGTAGTTGTCGATATAACCTGTATAGAAGCGACCGCTACAACACCATGATCCCTATCTATCCTAAGAGTACCAGTGGTGCATGTTTACATTGCCAATATAATCTCCTAGTATCCCCCTTAACAACACCTATAACAGTCCCGTAAATATTCCCTTGTAAACGCCCCTTTAAGGAGTTTAGACCCTAAACCCAAAATCCTAAATAAAGACGAGTATATTTCAGGCTGGAAGGTTGGACTCGGAGAGTCTTAGCCCAGAATCCTGCAGCATGCACGACGAGGGCAGCGGAAGCGTCCTGAAATTTGGGTTAATCCCCCTCCAGTAGCGGGTACCACAAGGGACTCCCTAAACTCTAAACCCTTAAACCCTTAAACTCTAAACCCTGTAGGGTTCAGGATTTAGGGTTCTAAGCCTGGAGCCGATTTCCCTAAAGCTCCAGACACAAAACCAGCCTATATGGGGGTTTCCCAATTCTAGGGGTACCCTTTTAGGGAGCCCCAAAATGTGGACTATAATCTTTGGGGGTGTATATTGGGTCACCCTATTTTGGAAGACTACACATCTGGCATAATCAAGTCCTCCTGCAAGCCTGACAATGGCAACTCCAAAGGCATCCAGGCATGGTCTCAAACGGCCATATGAGAGGGTTTCCAGAAATTGCGGTCCCCAATACAAACTCCAATATATGTCACAATCCTTAGTTTCCAAGAACCCCCCCCCCCCATTTTTTGAATCTTTAAGCCAGATACGTCTGCATACTGTGGGTGCCTCTCTAACGCTTTCATAACCGCTCCGAACCCTCAACCCTAAACCCACCAAAACCCTTAAATCCTAAACCCACTAAAACCCCAAACCCCAAACCCACTAAAACCCAAAAACCCCAAAATGGCGCCAATATATACTCTATAATCCCTACATAACCCCTATAGAATCCCAATATAACCCCAAGAAACCCTCGAAAACTGTACCGCCAGGCTGGCTCCGTGCCTTCTCTCCGCCCAAACCTCCGATCAGCTTGTGCCTTTTGCAGCCGCAGCACTCTGCCAATGCTTGGGCTTTAGGGTTTGGGAATTAGGCTTCAGGATTTAGGGATTCGGGTTCATTAAGGTTTAGGGCTCAGGAGTTTAGGGTTAGGGTTCAGGGGTTTAGGGATCAGGGAATTGGGGTTGAAGGTTTAGGCTTAAACCATAATAAATGAGAATCAACTGAAAAAGACCATGGAACACACCACGGGAAAACTGGGGCTCTGTAGAGGTTATGTAGGGAGTGAAGGAACTTAAACCAAGTTACTACTATAAGGAGAAACATAATATTTGGTGAATCTCAACCTTCACTAACAGGTTTTCTACAGCAAGCTATGGACGCATACACGTTTATCTGGTGTCAACCTATGATGCTCATAGCCCTTGATGGGGCTGCTGCTGCTCTTGTTGCTGCTGCTATCAGTTTGGTTGTGGTTTTAGTCAGGGCTAGGATCTTCTCACCCTTCGGGTCCAAGTGCCCAAAGACTAGGGTTTTTCACGCGCCCAAACCATTCAGACTGTAGCATTTGGGATTTACAGCCCACCTTATTTG